GTAAATTCCCTTTTAGTAAGAATGTTGTCACTAAATTAGAAAACCTGTTCTTGAACTTAATTGACTTACATTTCCCAGCACACCACAGGTTACACAAGATTTTTAACAGAAACACCGTCAAAATAAGCTACATCTTCATGCCAATATATTAGTATTATTATTAAGACTCACAACCAACTCATTTTGCGTTACCAGAATACCGAAAACGTTAAAAAATGCAAGTGTTTAGACAGAGCTTCGAGTCCTTTAGAAAATCAATGTCTAACTAAAAATATTGTTTACTAAGCTACCATAACAGCAGCAAGCATCAACCAAGCAAAGAAATGTTATATTGGTATTAGCGAAAACTCCTTCAAGATCAGGTTTGTAAACCACATAAAATCATTCAACTTGGTCAGATATAAAAATGACACTGAACTTTCTGAAGAGATCTGGAAACTTAAGGAAGCAGACATTTAACCAATAATCAAGTGGAGTATTGTTTAAAAATGTCATCCATATAATCCATCCTCAAAAAGATGTAATCTTTCTATAAATGAGAAATATTTTATTTCAACATACAATAAAGTTAAATAAAAAAAGTGAATTGGTTTCAGCAAGTAGGCACAGAAAAAAGTTTTTGCTATCGAATTTCGACACCGGTTAAAAAAATTCTCGTTAAACGTGACAACTTACTTTTGATCTCGTTGCAACGCAATTTCGTATTTTATATAACGGTTTTTATTTTAATGATTTTAAGTATATGGATATATATATATATATATATATATATATATATATATATATATATATATATCATATATATATATATATATATATATATATATATATATATATATATATATATATATATATATATATATATATATATATATATATATATATATATATATATATATATATATATATATATATATATATATATATATTAATATTATTATTACGTCGTGTTGTATTCTGTTGGAATTAATACAGCTCTTTTTAGGTTTAAGAGTGATCATATTTATAAAATAGATCAAAATATATTAAATATTTAAATGACAAAAATATGACTTCTTTATGGGACTTCAAGTTTATTGCCGTTCGGCAATCATTCAGCCATATATTTAAAATCATTAAAATAAAAACCGTTAAATAAAATACGAAATTGCGTTGCAACAAGATCAAACGTCAGTTTTCATATATATAAACATAATGTTCCCCCTATAATGTTTCCCCTATAAAAATTTTGATAAAACCTTTTTTTTTTTTGATAAAAATTGTGTAATTTTAACATTAACTTAACATTAAGTATGACCTATTCTAAAGAACGTTAATATGCATGGTGGTGCTTAATGTGAAATTTCCATATGGTTCCTAGTATTCCATTCAAAATCAAATTATTTGAAATAAATTGAATCTGGAAATAAGCAGTATTAGCGGTATTTTACAGTAATATTCAGTATTAATATTTTTGTACTTTACAACTTTACATACTTTATTATTAATTAATAATAACTAATGTTTTGTATTTTACAGTAATAACTGTTTTAAATGTGAATAATTTGCATTGCTTTTTGCGTTCACATTTACGTAAGACGGTTTTCGGAAATAGGATAATGACTGATATTTCCGAAAAGCTAATGAGATGTGAACGTTTTATTTCGTTTTTAAATGTCTGCGTCATGCGATCTCTTCCAGAAATGACCAACTATGATGCAGAGGTAGCTGCATAAACACCACAGTCTGATGCATTCGGTTGTAGTGCGCATGGTACTACAGTTACTGGAAGAAAACCCTCCCGATTTGCAAGAATAAAATATATTTGTTTCATTTGAGTTTTAACATAGTTTGAAACAGAACCATGAAGGCTATCTAAATACAAAACCTCTCCGTCAACGCATGCAGTTGTCACCCGATGGTTGACGTCGTAAAGAATGATGATCGACTCACAGGTAACTACTTTCAAATCAGATCGGGTCTGAATTAGAAGAGTTGATTGATTGTTTTTGTTACCAAGATGTGCTGAAACCATTTTGTCGACTGCATCAATAATTTTGTTGTTCAGCATTGCGTCTGAAGTCAGAATCTATTGATCTTCAATGGTAACACTGGATTTCAAAGTACAATGATTGTACTTTGAAATCCAGTGTTCAGAGTTTGAAACCTTTTGTTGACTATTGATTTTTTCAACTGATATTTTCAATGTTTCTTTTGCTACAACTTCATCATTATTCTGATCGGAAGCTACAGGCCTACTTGAAATGGCATTATCCCGTTGTTCACTCCATCTTTTTAAGTTGATACCATAAACAGTTTGTTTCAATATCATTTTTTTATGTTGCGACCAATAAACTCCTATGTCCAAAACCTCTAATATTGTGTAAGGGCCGTTGAATCTTTAAGCTATTTTATCACCCATTTGTGTGTCTTTACGTCTGTTGTATTTCAAAACTTTGTCGCCAAATGCAAATGATTGACTTGAATGTTTAATATCGTAACGTTTTTTCTGCAGATTTTGTGCGATTGCAATGTTTGTTTTAGCTGCTTTTTCTTTTCGCACCAAATTTTTCAGCTAACTCTTTCATTCGTAATCCTTGTTTGGCTTCTTTGAATTTTGGGATCCCACTGAAAAATCTCTCATGTCCGGTTTTCTAAATCAGTTGGTCTCTGAGCTGTAACTAGAAATATCATTTCAAAGAGAGTGTATTTTGCGAATAATTAATGCGCCTTTTTAAAATTTAAAACAAGTTCAAAATTTAATATTAAAGCTGTACAAAGATAAAAAATTGGTATAACCATTTATCACCTTTCTGTCAGTCCATTAGTCTGAAGATGATGATTTGACGGATTACATGTTTAATATTAAAAAAAGATCTTCCAAGAACTTGTTACAAAACTGGCGTCCCTGGTCGTGAAGTAGAATGTTGCAAGCCCTAAACCTGAATACCAGAAGGAGAAAACAATGAACAGAATACGCATCTTTTTCTGCTATGGAATCAACTTTAGTCCATCTAGTAAATTATTCTGTTGCAACTTCAATATACTTCTTTCCGTTCTTAGTTTCTTTCAAAGGAATAGTTAGATCTATTCCCCAACGGTAAAAAATTTCATTTACTAGGATTGGATGGGGCGTTGCATGTGACGGTTTATCGTAGGATTCGCATGTTGACATTCAGGCCAAGATGCTAAAAATTTGCATATGTCTTTTGAAATCGACTTCCACCACTACTTATCAGTTGCTTTTTAGATAGTGCCGTTTTGTTCAAAGTGACATCTACCAATTATGTTATTGTTGAGAGTTTGTATTATACGGTATCGTTCATCTTCTCCACTTACCACGCGTTGTAGTTTTTTTTCATTTTAGAATTCTCTTATCGTCTTTCGTATAATTAGATGGATATTTATTTTTCCCGAGATATTTTAGCAGAGCATCGTGCTCTTCTTTTTTCATACTTTTGTTTAAAATAGCTAAATAAACCAAATAGAATAAAAACATATTTACAAACATGCAATACTTGTATGTTTATAAATCTATATAACTAGTTGAATAATAAACATTTGTTCCTTACTTATAACAAATAAAAAATGAATTTTTTTTCATAAAAAGGATTTGAAATTTATAAATCTGTTTAATTAATCATAACAAAAAACTTATACAAATTTCAATAAAATAATCACAAACAAAGTGCACAAAAGTTCGAAAACTAAAAAGCTTTTCAAAACATTCAAAAACGTTCAATACTTGCACGTAGTTATTTTGCTTACAATTAAACAAATAGTTTTAGTAATTTGTTTGTGACATAAATGGAAAACCGCGTAAAAAAACTTTATTTGACAATTATTTTTTTACGATTGATGTGTTTGATTCAAGTAAAACTTTGTTTTTCTAATGTAGAATCATTCAGTTAATTTAGTATTCAAACCGAATATAGCATTTAAAATTTAGATCATTTTATTTGCGCATTTAATTGCCCAATTCATATCAATTTGTATAGAAATATTTTCCATGACATTAGGTAGAACTAATGTAACGGAAAAAACTTTATTTCGAGGATAGGGGAAAAGATATTACAAGGGGGGAAATATTATTTCGAAAGGAATTTTCCCAACGGAAAAACTATTTCGACCAAGGGGATGTTTTATCATGGGGAACATCTATTTTGTGACACCGGCAAATAAGTTTGAAATTAAATGGCGGCAACGCGTGGAATGAAACAATTTGAATGTAATAAATACAATGATTTGGTTACCTTGTTAGTTTTGTTGTTAAAAAAATATTTTAAATTATGTATTTATTTATTTTATTATATATATTTATATATTTAGTTTACTTTTATAACTTTTTTTACGCTAGTAATAAAAAACGAACACTTTTTTTTTTTAATTATATACTGCCTGTTCAAACCGAAGCCCTTACCCAGCAAACAAAAAGATATCTAAAATGCATCTAATATGCATCTAAAAACTGATCTAAAAGATGTCTAAATTCAGGTCTAGAACGGGACATAAATAGACGTCTATCTTATAGACGTCTTTTAGATGCATTTTATTCGACACAAATAATTGCCTTAGATGCATAAAAGATGTGAAATATACATCTTACAGATGCATATTAGATGTATAAAATACGTCTCTTAAATAGATGTCTAAGGCGCGTTTAAAAAAGATAGATAATAGATAATTTTTTAGTTAATAATAGCTCTTTTATGCATCTAATATACATCTAATATACATCTTTAAATGTATATTTCACATCTTTTATGCATCTAAGGCATTTATTTGTGTCGAATAAAATGCATCTAAAAGACATCTATAAGTTAGACATCTATTTATGTCCCGTTCACGACGTGAATTTAGACGTCTTTTAGACCAGTTTTTAGATGCATATTAGATGCATTTTAGATATCTCTTTCTTTGCTGGGACTTGTTTGATACAAAGGTGTTACAGCGGTTAAATTAGTCATAAAAAAGGATTAAATTAAATAAGTAAAGAAACATTTTAACTAACATTATTTAAGTTTTATTTCACAAAAATATACATAAGAAACTATATTTCTGCATTGCCGTCAACATTTTCTTCCACGTCGCCGATATCTAAAATATATGACATTTAAATGATTTAAAAAGACATGTAGAATTCTGAACCTATTTTTATGAAATATTATATATAATACTATATATATATATATATATATATATATATATATATATATATATATATATATATATATATATATATATATATATATATATATATATATATATATATGAATAAATATATATATATATATATATATATATATATATATATATATATATATATATATATATATATATATATATATATATATATATATATATATATATATATATATATATATATATATATATATACACACATACAGTATCGGACAAAACCAGTGCAACCAAATGATGCTAATTTAGTTTCTTTGTATAAAAGTGCTGTATTTTTTCAATTTAGAGAAATAACTATGTAACTGTTTAGAGACAACGTTCTTCAAATTTTATTCATCACAAAGTTCATTATTTGTACACGAAAATTAATAAATTAATCAAAAGTATTAAAAAAAAGTTGATTTCCTTCTGGACAAAACAAGTGCAACTCCACAAAATGTTGACCAAGCTGTATTCATATCAATATTTTGTGGTGAATCCTTTGTTGTCGATCACAGCCTTGCATCTTTAAGGCATAGATTCGATCAGGTGATCAATGAAACTTTGTGGAATCGCTGCCTAGGCCTTTTGGATTTTTTCAAAAAGTTGATCCTTATTACTAACACATTCATGATTAACTCTGTGGTTGACGATCTCCCACAGGTTCTCGATAGGGTTGAGATTCAGAGATTGAGGCGGCCAATCCATCACCAATAGACGGTTGTCTTGAAACCACTGCTTGACTACTTTTGCAGTGTGTTTGGGATCGTTGTCTTGCTGAAAAACCCATTTTATTGGTATATTCCATTCAGCATGAGGTAACATAACATCCTTCAGGATATTTTTATACATGAAACGGTCCATTATTCCATCGATTCGATGTATTGGACCTAGACCATTAGCAGAAAAACACCCCCAGACCATTACATTCCTCCACCATGCTTCATAGTATATATATGTATGCTGCAAAATGGCACTTGTCAATGAAATTCTGCCTGTGTGCTGTCACCTGTCAGCTGATTGCTCATTTCATGGCATGCTATGACTCCAGACTCCTGAACTGTTAGCTGTGGTAGTATAGTTCGTTTCATTTTTAAGACATAAAATTAGGAACACTTTTTAGCATTGTTCGATGTTGGTTGAAAATTTTTTGTCCAATACTGTATATACGCATATATACATGTATATATATATATATATATATATATATATATATATATATATATATATATATATATATATATATTTATATACATATATATGTATATATATATATATATATATATATATACATATATATATATAGATATATATATATATATATATATATATATATATATATATATATATATATATATATATATATATATATATATATATATATATATATATATATATATATATATATATATATATATATATATATATATATATATATATATATATATATATATATATATATATATATATATATATATATATATATATATATATATAAACAAAAAGATTTGTATCTCAACCAGATACAATAATAAACAACAATTTTTTTATGAAAAAACTAAAGGAACTTGTATTATGGATACAAAAATTCTAGCATGACACAAAAAAGTCGAAGAATATCTTTTTAATACAGATATCAGTTTTGTAAATACTATTAAAACTATACCTTGTAAAACACTCCATATATTTACTAGATTTTTTAAGCTTATCTTTTCCCCATTTCCTTTTCGATTTAATTTGGACTGTAACTGATTCGAAAATAACCTGATAAATATTTTAACAATAAACTGAAATATATGAAGATTTTTATTTTAATATATTGTAATAAACTAAAATATAGTTTAATAAATGAATGCTTAAATTTATGAAAGGTAAAAGCATTAAATTTGAAAATAAAATGCTAAACAAGGTTTAGCATTACACTTACTTTAGCACACAAACAAACTTAAACACCTACAGCGAAGCTCCCGAGTTTATCAATTTGTCATGTTAAAAGTAAATCCATAACAAATAACGCTCAAAAAGAATTGCTTTTGGTCCCTTTTAATCATATTTCTAATAATTAATAAAAACATAATCATTTACCTTTTCATGATCAAAAAAACATGTTCTCTTGGCTTTCCACCACCAATCTATTTTAAACTATCCAAATTAATAGCCAAGCTGAAATAAATGTAATAAAAACTAGTGTAACTTAAATTTCTTTGCAACATATTGAGTCTAACACAAGCTAGTTATTTTAGTTCATTTACAAATACTTTTTATTTAGATTCTAAACTATTAAACCAAATTTAAAAAAACTTATTAAAAATTAAGATAATTAGATTATACCAAATTAGTATACTCGGTTTTATCTTTTAATTTATTATCCTGTGTAACCACTTTGTCCACCGATTCTAGCAACTTCACCTCATTAGCCTGAAACTTAATTTCTATATACTTTCTTTTAAAAGAACTTTTATTTCTGCAAGCTCCTTAAGAATAACATTTTGCATCTCTACAAACAAGATTAAAAAGATTGATTAACATATTTAGCTCATAAAACCAAATAGCAAAACAATGAAATAAGAACTTTAAAATTCAAATTATGCTTGAGTAACTTAAACTAAAATTTCAAAAATACATGTAAGTTTTTTTATTACTCCATCGCAGAAGTTGCATAATATTTTGGAAAACCTACTTTTTAAATCAGCTAAAACTTTATCCTGTAAAAGGCTTTGATATTAAAAAATTTTGCTTAACTACTAAAGATAAAATGCTACACACATGATTTATTGGATCACAATATTATAAAAAATCCATTTCTATTCTTTTATACCTATCTTTTACAATTATTTTAATACAAAAACAAATTAATAAAAAAGACCTCCACATTAACATTCAGTTGTGTAAAAACCAAAATTACTCACATTAAAACTTAAAACTCTTTGACAATGTGAACTTTGCTTGGTGTTCATCAATAAAATGTGAAGAAAAATTATCTTCTTCAATCTTTGAATCTGATAACAACTCTATTCAAAAATAATAACTATAATTAGAACAATAAATAATCCCTCAAATATACCTGTTACTAAAATTAATTTTTCAACCAATTTTGTACTCTTTCAATTTCTGAATTCAAACAACTTCAGCATGCTTTCAATCAATTTTCAATTTTCATATCAAGTTGATTAAAGGATTATTTAATACAATAGAGTGTTGTCAATGATATAAATATATGTAACCAATTTAACAACATTACATGTAATAGGACACCCAAATAGTTAAAATAAAAGGAAAATCTAAGTAATACATAAAAAAGACTAATAGCTAGATAGATATTATTCAGATCAAATTAAACAAGAATCTATTTCAATTTATAAACCATTAAGAAAAAATTATGATATTTATGTTATACTTTTGGCATTGGACTTATTCATAATAGGTGGCGCAGGTTCTGGCAATGAAGAGCGGTATGATTTGTTATTCTTATTTTTAATGCTTTCTTAAACATATATCTCATCTAATGTAGAAAGTTGTACTCTTCACAACATGAAAATGAATCTAGTTATAAAACATTTTGCTACAAAAAAGTAATTAAATTACCTTTAAAAAAAATAAAAAACAAGTTAGATACTGACTATCTGTTATCTTACACTTAATCAATGGAAATTTGTGCCATTCTTTTATTGACAAAAGGTTGTTTTTCAGTGCATGATTATAGTTTTTTTTTGGGACAATAAATTTGTTGGTATTATTTGTCAATCCACTTGTTTAGTGCATAATTACTTGGTTAGAAAAACATGCAGAAAAACTTTCCTTTAAAGTTGGGTTATGCTTATACTCATTAGGCTTTTAGTCATAAGAGTATTCATTGTACAAAATCGATGACTCATGATGGTCAAAATATTCTTTTAGATTTTTGAAAGATAAGAAATCATTTCTTTTAGAAGTTCCAACATTCGATTTTTTTTCTATATGTACTGATGAAAATTCTAGTATTTTTTAATATTCTTTTTGGACACGTCTACTGCATCTCTTTTCGTATGCCTTTTTTGTAAAAGACATAAATGAATCTTGGTTTCTCGATAAAAACGATAAGTGCACAACCAATAAAACAATCTTTTGTGTTATTGAAAAACACTCATATTATGAGTGTTTTTCAATAACAAAAAAGATTGTTTTATTGGTTGTGCACTTATCGTTTTTATCGAGAAACCAAGATTCATATATGAGTCAAATATATATATATATATATATATATATATATATATATATATATATATATATATATATATATATATATATATATATATATATATATATATATATATATATATATATATATATATATATATATATATATATATATATATATATATATATATATATATATATATATATTAATTACATTATCTTTTATTCTAGAAATAAAAATATCAATTTGAAAATATTAATTTTGTAATATTTCTGCAAAATAAATTTCAAATCACAAGGATTTTAGCAAACATGCTAAGCATCAAATCATCGAAATATTTTGTGAACTATAATAGCATGTTATTTTATTATTTAAAATTTATCAAAAGAAATAATCATTAATGTTTTCCATAGGTTAAAATCTTCATGCTTTTTTCGTACTAAGTTTAAGCATGGTTTTTAAATGGCGGTCATTTATAATTGTCGCTCCGTAAAATTAGTTGATATTTATTTCTTGTTTTTATAACAAATCTATCTAAGACATCTTATAGACATCTAAGTTTAGATGAAAAAAAAATTATCTATGCACGATCTATTTTATGCATCTAATATGCATCTAAAACAGAGCAAAAATAGTATCTCTAGAATCAGACTTCTTTTTGATCTCTAATATACGTCTAAAATATACGTATCGGCAATAGATACAAATTAGACCAATTTTAGACGGTCTAAAAGACGTCTATTGTTTGCTGGGTAGTCGATCTACGTACATTTTATACCGGTCCAACCTTTTCAAACTCAGTCAGTAATGCGTACATTTTACTATGCCCATCCCTATTCAAGTCAGTCTTTGTTTCTGTACTTTGAATTTTCTGCGTTTATTCCTAAACCAGTCGTAAGATTACAGTGCTTTGCCTACGGCAATATTAGTTGATGTATATACACTTTTAGGCACCTATTAAACTAATAATCTAATTACTTATCTAATAAACTTAAATCTAATAAATAGTAATTACTAATAAAAAAAAATTAATAGACACTTTTAGTTGGTAATACTAATAAAAATTAGTATTATTTTTAAAAAAAAACATAAATTTTTACGAAAAAAGAAAAATTACCATGCAGCATCGCCGCTCTTATTAGGAACTATCATATCCACTGAGCTACGAAAGCATTTAAAGAACTGCAATTTTTAACTTTATATTTTAAATTATACTGCCGGCAATTATTCTCAGAATTATATATATATATATATATATATATATATATATATATATATATATATATATATATATATATATATATATATATATATATATATATATATATATATATATATATATATATATATATATATATATATATATATATATATATATGAATATATATATATATATATATATATATTTGAAAGATGACATCTTGTATGAGAGTATATTATATATTATTTTAAAAAATCAAAAAATACAGTTTCTCTCAATACTAACAATTTTATTTTGCAAGAAATTTTCGCTGGGATTTGGATACAAGCATCATCAGCTTGTAAAATATTACAATAATTTTTCAATGGTTATAGTTTATATAAAATTGTTACTCTTGACGTCAGCGGTTGCATGGCTTCTTTTGATTTTAAAGTTTTAAAAAATGGCGTCCAAAACAGTTTTTACATATTGGCCTTCATCAAGATTAATTCCGCCGTTTCGTGCAGAGCACATGTTGTTTTGTATTTCTAGTGCCTCTCTAATTTTTCTTTCAAACTTTTTATTTTTTACTTTTAATGTTCTTGTTTTTTTTCCAAATAATATTTTCTTTGCAAAAAGGTTTTATGGTATGCTAATGCAGATTGATTAGGTTTGTTTTCATTAATGCTCTTCTGATGCTAATGCATTCGCGTATTTACCTGCATTTTTTTTTTTGCAGGTAAATACGCAAAGTCAGAGCTGTAATATATATATAAAAGAAAATAAAGCTACGTGATTTTCACAACTTTAAGTTTCATGCTGTTGCAGTCATCAGGTGAAATACAAATATAGTTTGTTCATTTAAAAAATTATATACAATTGAAACTATTCAGAAAAAACCTATGCGGAAAAAACTTTTTTTTATTATATTTTAGTGTATCGAGCACTTTTTTTATTATATTTTAGTGTATCGAGCACTGGGTATATATATACATATTCATATATATATATATACATATATATATATGAATATGTATATATATACCCAGTGGGCACGGCGATGTTGGGTTAACGTTAAAGCAACGTCAAACGCGACGTCGGATTAACATTGGAAATGGAAAGTTGGATCGACAATAATATGCGATGTAATGGCGATGTCAATTTTTGATGTTAAGACGATGTTACTAGCCGATGTAGTATTGACGTCGCATTGCGATGTAATAGCGATAAAAAATCGATGTCGCATCGATGTTAGTAATGGAAAGTAAGACTAATATTATAATCCGATGCTAAGTTGACGTAAACCAAGGGATTTTAGAAAAACGTTTAATTAAATATTTTATATTTTAAGTTTTAAGCTTTAGAAGGAAGTAAACTTATATTGCAAAAAAAAAAAGAATGAAAACATTTCCAAATAAATATATAATTATGGTATTGAAATATAAAACAAGATATACAAGTTAACCACTCATTTGCTTTTTACATTTTAAGAATTGAAAAATTATTATGTTGAAGACCGTCTTCCACCTGTGGCCTTGTTTTGAGCGTATCGCAAAATATCTTTTACGCAGTTTAATACGTCTTCTTTGTTAAATTCTCTATCCTTCATTGCTGCACCTAAAGTAAAAAAAATTATATAAAAATTAAATATTTGCAAATAATTTTGAAAATAATTATTCCAACTAATATCAAATTTGATAACAGCTGGAATAATTATTTGCATAAAACAACAACAAAAAATTTATAGCTATTATTCTTAGATCAAGTAATATTTTATATATATAAACATTTTAGAATTTAGCAGTTAGAAAATGTTAGCAAGACAGTAAGTCTTTCAAAAACTAAATTTATAAAAGTACAGCACAAAGCTTTGCATATAATAACACATTTAAAAGCTTCTTTCTTAGGTCTTGACTCTTTATTATTTTCGAGGCGATTAGTTCCTCGAAAATTGAACTTGGCAAACACATTGTACGTAGCGACATTAAAAAAAGTTATTTTTATTATCAACATTTTATTTTAAAAAAAGGCAGTAGCAGTGTTGAGAAACCTCCACCTAAATGTTGAATAGCAAAAAGAACAAGCTTAAGCTTAAGCGTTAATTAACGCTTAAAAACTATTCTATCTAATATTTTTATCTACACGCTTTTCACTATAAAGACTATTGAGGACTAAAAACAACACAAGAAATTCAAAAGTTGTAAGACAATACAAACCTTTCCATAATGTTCTTGACAACATCTTTAACATCTTTACCCCCAGCAGAAGACAGAGATAAGACCTGATAAAATTAGAAAATGGAATAAAATCAAATAATAGTTTTTTTATATATCAATAGGTTAATATTATACATTAAAGTTCAGAAAGTATTAGTAAAGTACAAAAAATTTTCTTAAGACATGTTAGTTTTTTCATAATTTTACATCTATTTTTAGACTGAAACCAGTTTTAGTTATTCCTAAGTGTAGTTAAGGGAATTAATAAACTTAATTACTCCAAGGTGCAGCTAAGGTGATTTATAAACTAGCAGAATTAAAAAATTTTGAACTAGTATGATTTTGTCAACGTAACAAGTGCTTTTCTAACGTTCAATAACACTTTTGAATAAATGTAAAACATATTACAACTAATACAAGATTAGTGATAAATAAACTAGAGATTCTAAAACTGAAGGATCTTGATTCCGATTCTCAAACTCTTTTCTGTGTTTTCGATTCTGCTTTTATGCACACACCTGGAATGGAATGGTGGGCATCATACTTGGCCAATTTTCAAAAGAATCAGAAATCGATTCTTTTTTTTCTTCAGGTATCAACGGAATCAATTCGAGTCAAAATTTTTTTTGTTTTCTTAAGAATTAACAGAATGGAAATCAGACTGAAAGAATCGTCTTGAGAGAAAAAACTACAAGACCGTCGACACCAGGGGAGGGAGGGGAACTTTTTTTTTCGAAATGTAGAATATTTTTTTTAGAAATGTTGGAGTTTTTTTTAGAATTGTAGGATTTTTTTTTAATTAGGGAGTTTCCCACCTCCCACTTAAAAGCCGTGTCGACGGCCATGAACTACATATATAAATGTCATAAATCAAATAATAAATATTATTTTACCAGTTTATTAAATTCTTCTATATTTGCAATTCTTTCCTCTAAATTATGTAAATCTTCCAAATTGCTTATTTGGGATACTTCTTTATCTACTCCAACTCAAGATGATGTTAAATTTAGTAGAACTTTCTCAATATTTTCAAGTCTTTGATCTTGTTTGATCAAGTATTTCATTACTTTAGCTTGAAATTCTGAAAATATAAAAATTATAGTTTTAAGATTATTATAAATTATTCTAATACTGTGTAATAATACCAAAAATTTTTTTTAATAATCAGTAAATAACTCACAAGAAAAAATAGCAAAACACAAATACTCAAATACTCTTTGAACAAACCTGACTCGGTTAAAGGAAATCCTTTAAATGGCAACACAGCTGCATCTTTTCTACTATAAGAACTTATATGTTTTTTCTAAATTTTTTTTAATGATTTTAAAACTATTATTCTTACACTTTTATGCCATAAGTTATATTTTATAAAAACATTAGAAAAAGTAGAAAGAAACTATATACCAATTAGACTAATTAGTATAGTTTAGTGTTTATGCGCATTTAGAGCTGGATTAAGGAGAAGGGGCTGGGGTTAATAACCCTGAGGCCCAAAATTGTCATCAAGACATTTTTTTAAAAGCCATTTTAGTGGCTTTTAAAAAAAGGTTTTTTGTTAAAAGCCATTTAACAAAAACAGCCCCGGGCTTCGAAAAGTCTTAATCCGCCACTGTGCACGGGTATCTCAGAATTGTTGTTGACCTAATATGAAATAAATATTTAAATAAATAAGATTTGATACAAAATGATACATTAAGTTTTTTGCGTAATCCAAGTAGTGTTGTCGTTTTACTACATTTGAGTTGCTCATTAAAGATACTGCAATGCTAAAACTTATGAAGTTCTGGTAGACCTCTTTTGACAAAATATTTTTCAAAACTATTGGTCCAGCGTACAGCAAGAATTGTCAAAACTCAGTTGCTTTAAAACGCTTAAATTCATTAAAAAAACGTGGTTGTCGAGCAAACTCACTAGGCATTTTGCCAAGATAAAAAACCAGTTTATCAGACATATTTTTTTTTTTGCTGACATGATAGGCGACAAATGCGTGGGCTTTCAAACCAATATTTTAGTAGCCGCTTCATAACACCAAGACAAACACAATGCATATAGTCAATAACAAACTCCTTTACACACAATATTCCATAACCTACTAAGGGAGTCCTTCCTAATTGATGAGGTTCGCAGCATACGTTACATGCTCCTAACGAATGATTTAAGTAAATATATTCATTAAATTGTTCATCATTTCGCATTTGCCAATTAACTTAAGTGAAAACAACCCTTCCATCATATTCTCCTTCAACTAAACATCCCTCACATGGTACCCTCCATGACCTTTAATATTCTTTAAAAAACAGCGTGCAGGCACATCACAAACAAATGCCTTGATTGAAACAGGTAGAATTTTTCCATTATGTTCAATCCCACTAATTTGAAGCAATCTGTACTCAGTTAAAAATTTATTCAAATAGTCAAATAAAGTAATTGGTTTCTTTTTGCCACAAAATAGACATACAATAAATGGCTGTAACTCTGAAAACTTTGCTAAAATTGGCCAAAATTGTGTATTGCTACTCTTATATAAAGGCAATCCATCGATATTTATTTGCAAATCAATTTGTTTCAGAATTTTTTGAGAATCCTTTAAAATGTGTTTTATTCCTTTTTTAATCCCGAAGTAGATATATTCACCGCCACACAGTTCTTTTATTTTTACATATTTAGGGGTTTACTGCATTTTTATTTAAAATACTTAACAGTTTTTTACATATTTAGGGGATACTGCATTTTTATTTAAAATACTTAACAGTTCATTGACAGCCTTTATTGTGCATCTATTACCCATGCAGCTAGATTGCTAGCTAGCACATCAGATTTATTAAAAGTTAAATATGAAGTTAATTGGCATGCTTCGTTGCCTACTAGAGCATTACCAATCAATCAAACATCTGCATCTTGGCTACTTAAAAATGAATCTGATGCACCGTCAGAGTTAATATTACCATCATAATCATCGTCTGTAGGATTCAACTCCTTGTTTTCAATTTCAACGTTACCATTTACATTTTTTTCTGTTAATAAGCAAACTGTGTCGTCAATATCAAGCTTCATCAGCGACTTGTTAAAATCTTTGTTTTTATTTCTCCAACGTTTTAAATAAGAGTTCATTTTAGTACTAAAATAAAAACAACTTTGTAGTTCAATAACAAATTTCTAACTTAAGTTTCAACGCGTTCCAATTTTAGTAAAATAATTTATTCTATATTTAAATGTTCTGTAAAACATCGCGTGTCAACGTTAGAGCGATGTCATTTTCAATTTAAAAATCGACGTTGGATAAAACTACGAGTTTTACGTCGCTTTAATGTTGATTCAACATCGCAACGCGATGTTATTTTTCGACGTCATTCTCACGTTAATGCGATGTTGATTTTACAATAGAGATGTCGCCAACATAAAACCAACATCGCAACGACGTGAGAATGACGTCGGTGCCTACTGGGTATATATATATATATATATATATATATATATATATATATATATATATATATATATATATATATATATATATATATATATATATATATATATATATATATATATATATATATGATTTTTTAAAAATTATAATAAAAACTTAGAGAAACGGAGCTGCCAACTATCCTCTATTTTTTTTACTCTTATTTAAGGGTAGTTTACTCTTATTTTAGGGTAGCCTATTCTAAAGTTTGAATTGCAGTTCGGTAAAAAAAAAAAACTTTTCAGTAAGTTTAGCAAATTTAAAATGAATTTTAAAAACTTAAATTCTGAGATCAAGTACTTAACGTCAGACAAATTTGGATACTTTGATAGTAAAATCATTTTTTTTAAAGACAAAACAGTTTGAGATATCTCTTAAAACATTTTTGAACAACTTTTAAAACATTTAAGGCATCTTTTGCAATTATAAATAGAAGATAATCCATATAACTATTCTGTTGACTAAATTTTTTAATTTAGGCATATAATCAAATAAAAGAAAACATAGTAAAATAAAACATTTCAACGAGGTTTTTATTCATTGTTTTATAAAAAAATTTAAAAACCTAAAATTATAATTTAAAAATATAAAATAAAATCTAAACCCTATTAAAAAAAAACAGAAAAACTTTTATATTATCAAAGGTGGGAAAAATAGTAAATTAGTCTAAACAATTGACTCTAAGCGATTCAATTTCTTTTTGAATCTGAAAATACTGAAACTATTAACATATCGCTGACAAACGTTTTTTTATTTGTATAAAGATAAATATTAAAATTATTCATATATTTTACGTATTTTGACGTTTTCTGCTAGTTTTATTTGGGTCCACGTTTTTCACTTGATAATTAATTAAAGAAAGTTCAAATAAAAGTTTATTTGAATTAATATTTCTCTTCAAAGTTTCGTTACGCTTTATAAATGAAACCATTTAACCAATAATAAATTAAAAAATTTAAGTTATGTTAAAAAAGTTGAAAACATTCTACTGTTAAAAAAAAATATATTTATAACTTAATAAATCAATAATCGTAAATCAAAGTTATAGATATAATTTTAATTTATGATTTAATTTCTAACAAAATTTTATTAAAACTTAGTTAACGCGAAAAGTTTTTGCGCAAGAGTAAAAAATCATTGAAAGGTTTTTTCGGTATCAAAAATTTAACGAGATACTTTAAGAAAATATTTCATAAAAAGTCAACGAACTGAAAATATTAAAACACGTATATCATTGGAACTATATAAGGTACAGCAGTGGTTGAAACCTTTTTAGAAATGAAATATATACAGGGCAACGTCATCACATTGAACACCATTGCTTCCTTTACAATTTTTAATTCATGTAATTTTTATATAATGTAAATTACTTTTTAGCATTTTTAACTACTGAGCTTTAAACTTTTTATAAATATTCAAAAAAAAAAAAATTAATCTTTTGATAAACAGTCATAAATACAATAGCATTACTATAGATAATTGTGGAAAATATATCGACTGCAAAAAGTAACATCACGATAAAAAAAAATAAATAAATAAATAAATAAAAAAAAATAAAAATAAAGATAAAATAAAAATGATAACTCAAAAAATAATAGTGGTTTTACTTGATAAGCATTTCTGTACATGACAAATCAAATAATAAATAAAATAAGTTGATAAGCGTTTATTGACTTTCGCTTTCAACTTTAATTTTCAAGATATTTAGTTACATAATAAGTGTGAAGTATTTATGAAAATTAAAACCATTTGTGTCTACAATAGTGTACCAAGTTGCTACGGTTATTCGAAAACCAGCTGGTAGTAAATGTAAGTTAAATTGTTTTAAGTTTTTCTACGGGATACATGCTAGATATATGTTCATGATAAAATGCATTTAGAGAGCCAAACATTGCTTGCATAACTTTTAAAGTGGTTCAAAATATATAACCTCTTTAACATAGACATAAGGTTTAAACACAAAAATAGTTTTAAAGGAGATTTTAAAATCTGTCGATAAAAGCATAAAAAACAAACACTAGGTATGTATTAGAGAGATTTATCTCTCCAATACAACCCGCTCTATTTAAAGTAAATTTTAAATTTATAAAAAGTTAATAAATCTAAGATCTGCAAAAAATAAAAAAAAACGCTGATAAAAGTAAACGATGAACTGTAAAAGACGAACTATATACTTTGTGAAAAATAATAAATAATAGTTGACCCGAATCAACCAGATTGCTATCTTTAAACTTTTTACATAAACAACTTTTACTTTCTAAAAGTTTAATTTACTTATTTAAAATTTTCTTAATATGCAGAGTGTAAAAATAGCTTTACTAATAGTTTTTTCTACGTTGTAAAATATTCACAAGACAAAGAATAAAATCGTATTTGGATTAACAAAGTTTTATGTGTATTATAACGGCCAGAGTTTTAAAGAAACGAATAATTTTTGAGTAAACATTGCATATAATTTTTTTTTTATAATGTTACATAAAATCATCTAATATTTCCAATGTGTTATATAGCACACTACTTATATAAAAAATGTATTAATGTGAATGCAAATAACTTTTAAAATTTTATACCTAGTTTGTTATATTATTTACTTGTTTGTTGTTATGTTTATAAAGGATTTTCTAACATTTTTGCCATCCTGAGAATAACATTGCGCCACGTGGTTCATAATAGCCGCTTAATTCCGAAATAATTTATTACGCAAAATACACATAAACATTGTGATTCTTATGGACAAATATTTTTAATATTATTGTGATAAAATTTTGTTTTGTTTTTTCTAATTGTATTTTGATTTGTGTATGTATTTTTTATAACTTTTTAAAAATTACATTAATTTTTAGTATTTTTAAATCCACTGTTATTACGCATTTCGAAACGCACGGTTACTATCTATTTCGAAATGCATTTTTACTATGCATTTAGAAATGTACTGTTACTATGCATTTCAAATACCCTGACAACCAAGTAAACAGTCTTAAGAGTGCCAGAAAATTTGTAATCTAAAAGACTAATCATGTTAGTAATTGTAAAGGTAGTCTGTATTAGTAATTGAGCAAAATATAACCTTAATATCATTTTTTTGCAGGGTCTCGATAACGAGGTATGATACCAATACTATGGTTATATGTAGCTAAGTCAAGGTCACAATTTGCAAAGAAAAGACTTCAAATGTAGCTTTAACTTTTTAAAAGCTGTTAGTTAATTTTAATTAATTTTGATAAACAAAAAAAGTTTGTGAGTCATTTTTGTTCTTTAAAAAAAAAAGTTTCAAACAAAGACCTTATTCGCTTTAAGCGGACGTATTATTGCCAGTCCAAAGTGGGTCAAAACTACAATTAACTAGAAAAAAACAATACGAGTATTTTCTTAAATAACAAATTTAATAGCACTTTAAGAATATTTATTTGGTTGTTAGAGACACTTAAAATGAATTGTAACAGTGCATTTTGCATAGGTTTATAAAATTTCAAGTCTTATCAAACAGTTGTCTTTAAATACATACAAATTCTTTGTATGCTAAAAAAGACATTCACTTGCGTTGATGAAATAATGGCCTTCAAATTATAAAAGGTTTTATATGACCACATCTTGAATATGGATTGTCTATTTGGGCTCCTAATTGACAAAATAATATAGCCTTGGTCGAATTTGATCAATGCAAAGCTATAAAATAAGCTTCCAGCCTGATGTCGTCTATTCAATTTAATCCAAATCTTTAAACTAATATATCGTTTTGATAAAAACAATAACATGTATCTACCAAGATTAGTTAAATCCTTGTCTCATAGTCGCAAATCTAAAATAAGGTGTGAGTATGTTTAAAACTGTCTTCAAAGACAAAGTTGTTTGTATTATAGATCATAAAAATACTGAAACGAACTACTAAGCAAATAGCTTTCTACTTCATTGTACTTTCTTTAAAAAATGGACTAGGCTCCTGGTTGTGGGAGAGAAATTTAAAACAAATGTTTATAAAATAATTTGTTTACAGTAGGGTGTTTTCCCTGCTTGCTGTATGTATACAATAGAATAAAATTTACAGCTATAACTATAATAAACAATAGGAAAAATAATAAAAGAAATAAAAATACAATGATAATATCTTTGTGATTATAATTTAAGTAAAAACGTTTTTATAACTAGTAAAAAATATTTTTTATGAGATTTGAATTGCACAATATTGCTTTTTAGTATCAAATATAAAATCGAAAGTTTAGAAAGCTATATGTTTGAAAAAGTTGTTAAAACAATCTCGTTTAGTATGTTTTTTTAACAGCAAGAAGCAAACTTATTTGTAATTGAGAATTCTTTTGATCTTTTTAATAATGAAATTTTAAATACATTATAATAAAAAAAAAAAATTTTTTTAGCTGCGTTAAATTTACATTCGAAATGCAAATTTGGAGGCTAATAGACTACCTTAAAAAGCCAGTTGTAAACTAGACTAATATTAATGTTACAGGCTCAGTTTCAAGGCTCTGAAAAAAAACCAGTTATTTTATATTTTGTTAATGTGCTACATAATTTGTTTCAAAACAATTAATTGAAGCTATAAGCTTAGAAAATAATTTAATTATTAAAAAGTCTTTTTATACATCCATGTTAGTTTTTGTTAGTAAACATTCGCATGTTTTTAAAAGCTTTTAAAATTCTTGTTACGTATTTCTTGAATTTCTTTAGAAAACATTCTAATTCGATGTGAAAAATATTCTATAGCTTTACATCAATGTAAAAAAATGCAAAATAGACTAAATGAAGAATAAATCCATGAACAAAAATAAAAAATAAAATATCTATTTGCAACATTTATACAATACACCTGAAAAACAGATCAACTTGCAATCGTAAGAATAATGTTTGTAACACAGCATTGTTTTTATCAAACTTTAATTAAATACGGTGATGTTTGATAACTTAAGAATGCTCTTAAAAAACTTTTATCAAGTATTTATATCATTTGATACACCTCTAACCTCTTTTGCCATTTAATACACCTGAATCTCTCAAATTTAAACCTCTCGAATTTGGAATAACGTACTCTTTTTGTTTGCTTTTTATTTATTTTTGTTTTGTTTTATTTTTTAAAGAAGCAAAAACTTTTTCTTTTCTTGATCTGTTTTGATGTTTTTTTTATTTCATGATTTGTGCAAGACTAATTGCATGGAGCATTTGTAAAAACTTAATGTTAATAAGCCATAATTTGAGCCATAACCAGGCATTAAGCTTGTCTGAAAAGAAGATGAATTTTACTTAATTGAGTTAGCCTGTCAAACGCAGTAAAAATTACTGAGTTTGAATTTTTAATTTGAAAAATAAGAAAGATAGTTTTGATAAAAGCTTAACAATATGGTTTGTGACCAATCAAATCCAATCAAATACAAAGAAACAATACAAGTATGGAACAAATTGTTTGTAAGTTGTTTGACTTATTGATCCATCAAAACCAGTTTTATGGAAAAATATAAATTTTTTTATTTTAGGTTTTTGTCAGTCTTTTATGGAAAAATATAAATTTTTTTATTTTAGGTTTTTATCAGTCTTCAGGGTCAGGGTTAGGGTTAGGGTCAGGGTTAGGGTTAGGGTTAACATTAAAATTGGAGTTTGGGTAACCGCTTGGGCAGCAGTGGTGTAGTCTAACAAGTTTTGTAGATCAACAAAAGCTGAGTAAACATTTAAACTTGCATAAAAAGCAATGTTCTTTTGCATCTCAAAGTAATTGTAGAAAAAATGCAATTTTTAACCAGGTTCAATTGAACAAAAAAAAATCTGCTGATATGAATCTTTTGACAGTCCAAAATAAAGAATAAAAGCTTAAGCTTTTTCGGTTGTATTAAGCCTAATAGAATCAAAATACCACACATTTTAGAAAGTGCTGGATGATCCCCGTTAAAAAAAAGAAGTTTTTAAAATCAGTTTATGTTATTGATATTTTTTTCTTTTAACTTCAAATAATATTCTAATATTTTACCCAATTTTTATATTTTATTTTTATATATTCTAATTTAAACTTAGGAAACCTGTTGTACCCTAATGCAGTTTTTTAGAAATATATTTTTGCTTGTGATTTGACGTACAACACACAAATCAGAATTGCATACTTTGAAAGGTGCATCATTTGGGTACTCACCACCAACAATCAAAAATGTATATTTCATACTTAACACATAAATTGTTTGGTTAAAAAAAGGTGTTTAAGGCCAAAGTACAACATACCCTATGTATCTAGGCCAGTACTACAATTTACCAAGGACACATTGAGAACTTGGAGGTAATTTATTCACTTTTGGTTAAGAATATTTATTATCTTTGGAGGTAAATTAATATTATTTTTTAACCAAAATATTTTTATTTGATCTATTTCGTTATTTAACAAAACACCTCAAAAATTCTGAACAAAATCAAAATATTAAACTTTTTTTTGGTTTTTAAACAAAATCTTCAAACAAAAACAACAAACATTTAAAGTTTGTCCGTTTATAAACCTTTAAAATTAGGCAAATTCAGATGACTTGTTGAATAGTTAATAGAATCTATATTAGTTTCTGTTTCGAATAGAACTCTTCTTTTTATCCTTTTTGCATTATTGAGTCTTTTTTTTATTCAAAAACCTATTTGAAACTCTTTAGCTTTTATATTTTCAATTTCTAACTTTTCTGGTGTATCGGTCCAAAATCTGGATCTTCCTTTTTATTTTCCTTTTCGTGTTTCTTTACGAGGTTCAGCTTTTGGTTGTGGGCGTATTATTCCCGGCGATATCAAAGTTTTCAATTTTCTGTCCATAACTTCAAAACCTGAAGCAGTCAGAT